GAGTCTCTTTCAGTAAGATGTTGATGGAGGCCCTTGGCTGGGGAAGAGTCATCAAACTCAGGGAACATGGTAGTCTTTGCTGAGGGGGGTTGTCCCTAATGGAGGTTTCTGCTGAAAACATGTTTCTACCAGAGAGGAAATACCTATGCATTTTGTCAGATGTATTTCATAAGAGTTGCACATTTTTTGCTTTAGGCTGAACCAGATTGCAATGAAGGCTGGATGTGTTTTGTAGTTTTATTTTACATGTGATTTGGAGGAAGGGAGATTTTTAAATATTCTGGAAACATTTTCAATCAGACAAGTCCGCTTGCACTAGCACTGACTAAATATCAAGCTGTCCTGGCATCAAAATAGATAGAATATGCATGCAAGAACTCAAGAGGTTTGGTTCATGTATATTTCTACCTCAAAAAAGAAAAGATAGCTCTGGCCAACACTACTTTATGGAGCTGAGGGTTGTTTTTAAATTTTTCCAGGAAGAAGCCTAGACTAAAAGAAAATCATAACATATTAGTTGTTATCCTTTTAATAATATATACATAATAGCTACCATCAAGCCACTGCTTTTATATTAGCACAGACTGATCAGTTCATAATATGATTAAATCAAAGGCATGAGGCACTGAATCCTCCAAGGCTCAGTGGCATGAATGCTCTCTGAAGGCCGGGCAGAGAAAGAGCTATTGCTGTCCGTCTGCCTGCGAGATGTCCATAAGCCTGCGACTGTATATTTTTATTTATCCTTAAAATGTGCAGACGGGCTCCTTTTCTTTAAGAAGGCAGAACATTTTCTAGCAGATTAACAGCAGTTTTTGCTGAGGCCTTATCGCTTCTGAGGCTTCCTCTATCTGTGTGTGGTAGCCACAGCAGCTATGGCCAACTTGCAGCCTGATCTGGACCATTCCTTGCTGTGCCCCTTGATGCCTTATGAGAAAGGAAGCTGGGGAGCCATTCTTGTGCAGAATGCATTTCCTACTCTTTTGTCTGAAAACAGACTTTCTAGAGCAGATCGTGTAGCATCTCCTTTTTTTTTTTGTCCTCTCAAATTTTTTTTCTGATTGAGCCAGTTGATTGTGAGTCTAGGGGAGAATATTTGAGGGTGGAGGGAAACAGGAGGTTTCTTGTGACTGTCAACCCAGTTTTGACAGATTTTGATAGTCACGCATACTTTAATGGGGGAAAAAAAATCTGAGATGAATAATAAATTATAAATTTATTTAAAAAAATCCAACAGATCTGGAATCGTTTGCCACACTTGAAAGCTGTTGTGCTATATAAGGACTCCGTGCCAGAGAGACGTCCCAATTTGTATACGGTAGGTGAATGCTAGAACAGAGTTAGAATTCATAGAGTAGTATTTATTTGATGAGCTTCTACCTTTTTGTAATCTGTGGACTGTCTGCCATTCAGAATACATTGCTGCCTTCCAGCAAACACATTAAAAAATGTCATCATTGTTTTCCATTTCATTTACCTGTATTTAATGTTTGACACTTGAAATTTAAAACTAGAGCTACCTTGCTTAACTGGGCTTGGTCTCATGTCTTATTGCTTGGTCTCATGTCTTATTGTTTCTTTTACTTGACTGGATTAACATAACACTTATAGGCTTCAGGTGGGAATGTGTACTTTCAAACTATTTAAAATATCAGTTGTCCAGTGTCCAATATCAAGCATCTCTAGTGACAGGCAACAGGTAAAGAGAAATAACTACTGCTGCACAGAGAACAGCAGATTTTGTTAGCATATGCAGAATCTTGCATACCACGCAGTAATAACAAAGCAGAATATGGGACAAATCCAGGATCAGAAACTTCTGAGTAGTATTAAGTCCAGCCTTTAATTTAAAAATTAGGACTTTAGACAGAACAGATTTTTCAGAACAAATATTTTTCTGATCGTTTTAGAGTATAATTGAAGATAGTTAGGTAACATGAAAACCAAAACCACTGTTTTATTTTAAGTGGTGTACAGATTATCAGTGAGACTTCCAGGCTGAATAAACCTCAACTGAAGGGAGGAAAAAAAAAAAGTGTTAATGAAGAGTGAACAGTGTTGAAAACATTTTAAAATATTTCTGCTTTGATCATCTGATGTATTACCAGGTACACAAGTAAATAAAACTTCAGCATTTGTTTTAAGCATGTCTTTTCTTGGAATTGCATAAATAGTATATTGTTTATAGTAAACAGTTGCTGTTACCATACCTGTTGATGAATAGTATGCTTTACATCTCAGTACAGTAAAACAAAAATTTTAATAGCAAGAAGATCTTATGATATGTATTTTTTAGTAAAAGGTATAAGTGCTAGCAATTAACTCTAGATCAACATTCAGGCACTGAAACCTAAATGCCTGAGAACTTTGGAAGAGAGGAGTGATGCAAGGTATACATTTTAGTCTCTGTTATTGAAAAACACATTTGGAAACACTCTGTTTGAGAGACAGGTCAGACCTTTTTCTCAATGGGGAAGGGAAGTTGTGAGAACGTCTGATAGTTGCCATAGTTTATATTGTGTAAAGGAAAAATTGGATATCCGGTCACCGAAGGCAGTGATGATTGTTTATTAGCTTCAATGTAAAACAAACCACCCAAAAGACAGGGCATATGGTAAGAGTTTTGTGTTGCAAGTTGACAACTGAGATATAATTGACTGATAATCAGCAATTGCTGCAGTAGGGACAGAGCCCTAGTTCTCTGCCCGGTGCATGTTTCCAGCATGCAAATGCGAAATCTGTAATGTGTGTATGTGACAGTTTGTACCTTTCACACTCTGTGGAGTGGAAACATTATCTGTTCCAGGTACTGTTCAAGTAAACAAAGCCTAGGCAACAGATGCACAGTGATTAATGCATTCTGCTATGAGAAGAGAGTAGGGTTAGGAAGAACTGGTAAGTCATATAGAAACAATTACACCCTGTGCACCTCCAGACTTTCCAGCAGCCAGTGAAAGTGATACATCCGCATTCTGTGGAAAGGGGCAGGAGGTGACAAATCCCTTACTTGCTACGGGGGTATGCTCCGTATGCCCCCTCTTACCAAAGACGTGGTATGGTAGAAAAAGTATAAACCTGACGATCAGTGATTAAAAGAATCCTAAGGAGAGCCTGGGCCTGAAAAAAGGACTCTGGGTGCCACAGAGGCTAAGCATACTGGCAATGACAAAAATAGGTCTCCCTGAATGAATTCCCCCTCAGCCACAGGCTCTCCTTTTACCTCTGCTGTCCTTTGCATCATGCCTCTTTACTACTCTGTGGTCTTAGATATACCTCCAAAAAATGGTAGAAAATGGTAATGCTGCCTCTTGTTACTGCTCTTAGATAGCACAGTTCCGTAGCACAGTGTGAATCATCTGATTTCAGTTGGGATACTGACTCTATGGCTATTGACTTTCTTTCATTAAAAAAAATTATACCCTACCTTCAATTAACAGTGAAATCAATGGGATTTAATGGCATATTTAGCACCATACCAGGTGCATGCAATAGATGTCTCTGAGAGTAACTAATAAAACATAGTGGATCGGACTCAGCATTCTTCTGGGACCAGATCGTGCTGCACAAAAGGCCGGCATCGTAAAAGGTTTAGCTCATTCCAGAGTGAGGCAAATTTGAATGGAAGTAGTGACCAGCATCATACATTCCGTTTGCTATTAAACAGCAGAGAATTTGGGCATGTCTAGATGATAATGCTTTTGCACAGAAGCTTTTATGCAAACCCTTTATATATATAGTGGACAAGAAATTTAATGTGAAGTGTCACAAGCATATTCTTTTTTTATTTAAAAAGTGTAGATCCATAGTCCTCTAAATAAGGATCAAAATCATCTTGACAATGTGAGATAGGAACAGAATTTTAGCTTGTGTAACTTGTCCATAGTATTCACCTTGGATAAGGAATAGTATTACCGTTTGCTTCATAGACACCAAAAAGACTCATAGCAGCATAATTTTACATATTCAATTTGCAGTTCATACAGAGTGACCTGCACATAAAATTCTACATTAGGCTTATCTTATTCCTTACACAGGCTGTTGACCTGCGTGGGCAACTTGTCTTGGAAATGTTTTCAGAGCAAGGCCCTACTTAGCTTTCCTACTATTTTCTAGACCAATAGGGTACTGTATCTTTCCCAGTTGTAAGGAGTCATCCGGTATCTTGTGTTTTCTGTTACATGTGACAGATGGAAGAATTTCTGGAGTTGGGAGATGACATAACTGATGCTACTTTGGATGACATTATTAACTCTCAAAAGCCAAATCAATGCTGTGTGCTAATATACACATCTGGAACAACTGGGAAGCCAAAAGGAGCCATGCTGAGTCATGACAACGTATGTACTTGACATTCTCCCTTTAGAATAAAAATAGTGAAGCATGAGGATATTTATTGCTCTGTTTTGAGATGACTGTTACATCCTAGAGCCTTGAAATACTTTGTGGTACGCTAGTCATATTGTAAAAACAAAAGAAATTTTCAAAATGCAGTGAACTATTTCTGATAACGTGAAGCTGCATTCCAAGTAGCACTTCACAAGGTTGAATATAATTTATGTTATGAATATGTTTTTTTGATTCACTGGCTTGCTTGTGAGAAGTAATACATAAAAATCTGTAAACTGCCATAGGTGGCTGCGTTAGGTAATCTTAAAAACGAGCAAACAAAAGATAAAATCATGTGCATCGGCCAGCTACAATCGAAACAGACTGATACTGACAGCTTTTGCGAATTCTACTAAAACTGACCATGTAACTTTAGTATTATTATATCCCCAGGCTTTGGTTTCTACCTGTGTCACCGAAGGATAATAAAACTTGCGTGCATCTCATAGTCCTAACACAATAGCCCAACCTGTATTGCTGTGAGCAGAAAACTTCCCATTGACAGAGAAAGGCAAAGACAGCTGGAAACTAGACTTCCCGTGGAGGTCTGCTAACAAAAGTAGTTGATTTTTTGAAGTGGCTGAGCAGGAGTGGGAAGTGATAGGGAGCCTTTCTGAACATTTGGAGAATCTGTGAAAGGGCTGGCCTTAGGTTTCGGCCTCTCTTAAAAGAATGCAGGAACTATTACTGACATGCACACTGTGATGAGCAATTTACCCAAATGTAGGGCTGAGCACAGTGGTATCTGGAAACAGGACATAGTGGACTTGATAGACAGAAAGGCTGATCTGACATTGCAAATCCTATGCTCTTCCATCTCAAAGGAGTCTGGTGTCATTTCCATGTTAGCTGCCAAACTATTCCTGGCTACTGATCACAAACAGGCTATTTTTATGTTGAGCAACAGTGGAAAACATGCCTTGCCTGTAACTGTGCTTCTGCCTTCTTTAGTCAAAAGATGTTTCCCTCTGTCCACGTACAAAACCAGTGCTGAGTCAGTCATAGATGCACCCACTCCGATCTGCTGTGAACCTGCCCGTGTGCTGCGAGGTTTTGGAGGCTAAGCAATCGATCCAGCCACGTTTCAGACATTCCCTTCTGCCTGCTGTGTTTCGCTCTCCCATAGGTGCTTCTCCCGTGCTGCCACCTAAACGTGGAGTGGCCTTTCCTGACAGCAGTCTGCTCCTTAAAATCCTTCTCGGAAAATCTGTGTTTCCTTAGGCTAAACATATTCTCCTATTAACCGTCTAAATGACTACAAAGAAAGGGAACTGGCAGAAAGCATAACATACTGTAACAGCAGGCATTACACACTGTTTGTATCCTCTCCCTGCATCTTGAATAATAAATAGCCTTTCTGTGTTCTGTCCTACTCAGTTTAGATCATAGACTGCTCCAGGAAAGACCCATGTTTCCTTTTTCTCTGTGCGCGTACATTTTTTTCTCATATGATCACATATCTATATGAGTCCTCCATATATTACATTCTGATAATGAAGATATGCGTATTTAGCGTCCTTCAACAGCATTTTCTGGGATAAACCAATAAATACGTAGTAGGAAAAGGGCATTACAGAATTAAACCTCGAAGGAGACATCATTCAATTCCGCTAGAGTCAAACAGCAAATGTTTTTTAGCATTATTCATGTGTGGAGTTCCTCTCATGGAGGGAGAGCTCCATTTGCTGCTCGTGAACCACCATCGTGAATCTCCCAGTGGTTTTCAGAAGAGCAGGATACAGCTGCTGATCTTCATCATTAGTGCTCAGTCATGTGATGGTCAGTACAAGAAAATGAGCTTGCTGCTGATACTAAACTCTCCTGTGAGCTCACTGATCGCAGAGGGGTTTTTTGTTTGCTTTTGGTTTCTTTAAGTAAACATAGTGCTGGTGAAAACTGTCAGCTTGATAGAAATCATGCACAGTAGGAGAGCTGCAAAAGAAGAGGCTGATCGATCTTTTCCTTGTCCGTCTAGCCCATGACTGCTCTGCTAGATTAAGTGTTGCCTTTGTCAGTGCCTTTGGCAGTTTTATGGGGCGCTAGGTAGTGCGGAGTTTGTAGTGTTCATAGGCCAGTCAGACAGAGGAAAGACTGCATTTCCTTATATTATCTGTAGATCTCTGTTGCTGTGAGATCAGTTCATCTCTTTTGAGTAAGTGGCACTAGAGGAATAGCAGCCTGGAGTGTTGTCAACACTTGTGATGTCTTCAGCAATGTCTGTGAGCACAGATCTTCATAATTACATTGCCATAGCAGGTCTGGATGCTTAGTTTGTGTTAAAAGGGAAAAACGTCTAACATATTTTATTCTTTATTTAAATAGATAACCTGGACGTCAGCACATTGCAGCAGAGCAGGAGATATGCAACCTGCAGAGGTCCAACAGGAGTCTATAGTCAGTTATCTCCCACTCAGCCACATAGCTGCACAGATATATGACCTGTGGACAGGAATCAAGTGGGGAGAGCAAGTTTACTTTGCCGAGCCAGATGCTTTGAAGGTATCTGTCACACACTGCACCTAATTAAGCTTGCACTTTTTTCCTCTTAGAAAATGTCCTAAGGATAGATTATAATCTTTAAAGAGGTGCAGAAGATGAAGGTTGAAATTCTATTATTGTAAGAATTATGGAAAAGTAAATCCCATTAGGTACATGCTCCACTTCTCTAGATTTCATTTGCTTCTGTTTTTGGAACTACGCTTAGAAAGCTGGTCCCTCTTCTACAGTCATAGTCTCTAAACTGCTATTAAAAGAGAGTGCCTGGAACCTGGTCTCTTACCTGCCTCCTCATAAAGCTGAAAAATGACTTTCACAACAGTGCCTGAGTGGATCTCAGTTCCATATTTTCCATAATTAAACCTCAGCATTTATATTCACAATATTCTGAATGTAGATGTGAAATATATAGTCCACATCCAGATCTACTTCTATTAAGGCAGAAAAGAATGCCTCTAATGCAACAGATGTATAAGCAGGTTTTGGAGACAGGGAGGCAGAAGGAACTAAACCACCCTGTGTTTTTTTTCTTTTCATATGCATACTCCTCTACTCCCCCGAGCTAGCACGTTAGTGCATCTATCTGACTGAAATAGGTATCTAGTTCAGCCGACCTTATTTATATCCCGCATGCTTAGTGATGTTCTTCATACAAGTACTGCAAGATGCAAGCTACATCGTCAAACCTCTAACACCAGCTTGGACCTTTTGCAATATTTTGATATGATTTGATATGATTTTAACAGGGCAGCTTGATCAACACACTAAAAGAAGTGCAACCAACGTCTCATATGGGAGTTCCACGAGTATGGGAGAAAATCATGGAGAAATTAAAGGATGCTTCTGCTCAGTCAGGATTTATGAAGAAGAAAATGCTTTCATGGGCTATGTCAGTTAGCTTAGAGAGAAACCTGAACTGCTCGAGCAGGTGTGTATTATAATGAACAAGATCTCCATCATGCTGAAAGTAGCTGTATACTTGTAATAAGCTCTCTAACCTCAGAGAAAGACTCTCTAATATAAATGGGTAAAATTTGGCCTGGCAACACAGCAAATACAATGGAAGAGGGAGTGTGTAGTTATCAAACACGTTAAGCTGATCTTAAACCTAGGTGACTATGAAAGATCCCTCTAAACCCTCCCTGAGAGAATCAATCCTTCTCTCTCTTTCTCTCTCTCTCTCTCTCTCACACACACACACACACACACACACACACGCACGCACGCACACACTCTGTCTTGTGTGAATTGAACTGTTCAGTTTTAGCGGGAGAACTGCCCCATCCATCTTGCCTGTGGCCATGCAAGTGCAAGTTACTGATATGAGAACAGGACATAAATTTGGAGGAGATGTATGAGGGAGGGAAATTTTTCATTTTGGGGGGCAGCCCAGACATAGACTGGCTCACAGTAATTTGTAGTCTGCACCTAGGGAGAAAGAACATCTTGTCTTCGCACAGAAACCCATTGACCCACCCCTGAATTCTCTGCGCTCTAAATATGTTATCTCTATTTTGAATAACACAGGTGTTTTTCTCCATAAGGATGTCGAGATGTGGAAATTAAGATGACCTGAATATTGTGTAAATTCAAATACTAGCTTAATTCACAGTTTATTCCTGGTAAAGAGTTCTTAACATATGACACACTGAAGTGTGAAATTACTTAGTGAAAAAGGGATTTCAAAAGATATCATGCACTGGTATTGGTTTGCTTGTCTGACCTTTCAGCTTCTCAGATAGGTCTTGCAAATCTCAAGCTTTAGTGGTGTTTGTTCTCAAAGAGACACGTTTAACTGATAAAGAATCAGGAATACAAAAGCTGTGTCTTACACAATACATTTTTATAGATTTTTTTTCTGAATTTGCAACATTTGGATAACTCAAGTGTTTGGAGTTTGTTAGCCATCGTGGAAAGACATTGAATAAATGAACAGAAGAGAAATATATTACCTGTTCCTATTGATGTAACTTACGTCAACACCCAAAAACAACTGGCAAATATATCTCTAAAAGAAATTTGTATCTGATTTTATTTTGGAAATTTTGTATGTTACTCTGACTTATTCTCTCTTCCTTTTGTACTCAGCAATGATTTAAAGCTGTTTTGGACAAGGTTAGCAGACTACTTGGTGCTTGCAAAAATCCGCAATGCGCTGGGTTTTTCTTGCTGTCAGAAGCACTTTTGTGGTGCTGCTCCTCTCAATGCAGAAACACTGAATTTCTTCTTGGGTCTGAACATCACCTTGTATGAGGCCTATGGGATGAGTGAGACCACAGGCCCACACTGCTTATCTGGGCCATATGTTTACAGGCAGCACAGGTAATTTTACGTTTTTTTACACAGAATGTTTCATATCGATGGAGAAGAGCATTTATGGAGTTCAGTAAAGGTTTTGCTACTTGTTTTATTTTCTCTCAGTGCCTTGCTGCTCTGTTGTGACTTTGGGAAGCAAAATAACCTTCAGATCAGACACACACGTTGCCCCCATAGCATGCCAAGCCAAGTTAAGAGCGCTCAAACAGGTCTACAGTGCTATACGCAGAGCGCACTCACTAAATCTGTCATATATCCGAGCCCTGGCCCAGGGTAGGATGACTTTCGAATGCGAGACCTCAAACAAATACAAAAGTATTTTTATATCTCAGGATAAAGAGGAAGAACGAACCCAGGAAGCACAGAGCAAGAGAGACAGCCAAAAAGTGCCCAGAGAATCTTAACATATCTGCCCTTAGTAAAGTAATATTCCATAGCTTTGAAACAGTTACAGCAGGGTGTTATTTACAGTCACTTATATTTTGGTGGAATCAGAGATTGGTTATTTTAGACTTCCTATGAGTATTATGTTTGATCTTTCTGTGCTCTTTGTGTTTTTCCCCTGTTCCCTCATAGCTGTGGTAAACCAGTAGCTGGCTGCAAAGTAAAACTGGTGAATGAAGATACAGAAGGCAATGGAGAAATCTGTTTCTGGGGGAGGACTGTTTTCATGGGTTATTTAAATATGGAAGGCAAAACAAAAGAAGCTTTTGATGAAGATGGGTGGTTGCATTCTGGAGATTTAGGAAAACTAGACAAGGACGGCTTCCTCTATGTCACTGGAAGAATTAAAGGTATTAAGCAATCTTACTCTGTGTTTATGGTAACTGTTCAGTACTGCTTAGTTATTTGTCAGATATGGCCCATCTAATTAAGTGTCTTTCCTCTAATGCCAGCAGCATTTAACTAATAGGAAAGTAAAATAACTTTCCTATGAGGAAACTATGGCATGACCTGTTTTCAGGAAGGGTTTCCCTCTCGTCTCTAATAGGTAGAGTTGATTTAGTTCCTACAGTGAGGCTTTTCATCTCCCCTCCAGACTTTTATTCATTTTTAATAATAATTAGTAGTATAACATAATACAGGATTGATGTGCCTTCTGAAATTTCAATAATCCATAAAGCTGTCCAGTGTCCCTTTGAATCTTGCTAGGTTATCTTAATTACACGTTAGAATGTTTAGATATTAATGAGAGACAATCCTTCTGTTTTATAAAAGTTGTTCCTATAGGTCAGAGGTAGGTTCATTTGATGCCTTTAGGTGATGTGTTTGCAGAGACTAGTACTGAAATTTGAGAGCAGAAGGGAAAGTTAAAGCTAAAGCAATAGAGTTGGGTATTTTTACAGTATGTAACTCAAAAGTTTGGAGGCCTGTAGCTAGCAGTGTCCCCCAGGGGTCAGTGCTGAGAAGGCACCCTTCGCAAGTTTGATAATGATACAAAACTGGGAGGAGCAGCTGATACCCCAGAGGGCCGTTGCTGCCGTTCAGAGGGACCTCGACCACCTGGAGAGATGGGCAGAGGAGAACCTCATGAGGTTCACTAAAGGCAAGTGCAGGGTCCTGCACCTAGGGAGGAAGAACCTAGTGCCTCAGTACAGGCTGGGGGCTGACCTGCTGGAAAGCAGCTCTGCGGAGAAGAAACTGGGTGTCCTGGTGAACAACAAGTTGAGCATGAGCCAGCAACATGCCTTGTGGCCAAGAAGGCCAATGGTATCCTGGGGTGCATTCGGAAGCACGTTGCCAGCAGGTCAAGGGAGGTGATGATCCTCCCTCTCTAACTCAACTCTGATGACGCCTTACCTGGAGTACTGTGTCCCAGTGCTGGGCTCCCCAGTACAAGAGAGAAATGGAGGTACTGGAGAGAGTCCAGTGAAGGGCTACAAAGATGATTAAGGGACTGGAGCATCTCTCAAATGAGGAAAGGCTGAGAGAGCTGAGACTGCTCAGCCTGGAGAAGAGAAGACTGAGGGGGGGGGTATCTGATCAATGTGTATAACTACTTGAAGGGAGGGTGTCAAGAGGATGGGGCCAGAATCTTTCCGTGGTGCCCAGTGATAGGATGAGAGGCAACAGACACAAACGGAAACACAGGAAGTTCTGTCTGAACATAAGGGAAAACTTCTTAACTTTGAGGGTGACTGGGCACTGGAGCAGGTTGCCCAGAGACGTGGTGGACTTTCCATCCTTGGAGATATTCAAAACCTGTCTGGACACGATCCTGGGCAACGTGCTCTAGGTGACCCTGCTTGAGCAGGGAGGTTGGACTAGATGATCTCCAGAGGTGCCTTCCAACCTCAACCATTCTGTGATTCTGAAAGTTTCACCCAAAGAAGACTGGTCACTTGTTTACTTGGAAGCTCTTTTTCAAGATACGTATTCACAGAGTGAGATTCATTGCAGCTGAGATGTTACTCAAGAAGATTTAAAAACTGAGTAACTATCATCTTAGAATATGTGATGAATCACTAGAGAGAGAACACGGATGAGTGAATTTGTCATAGGATAGCGTAATGTTCTGTCAGGGATTAGGACTTCAGTAGATGCTATTAATAGCCTGCATCAGATACAGCTCTCTTGGTTTTAATTCGCTTTCTTGTCTGATTCATTTTTCTTTAGCGTGGTGGTTGGCAACTCCTAGCCTCATTGTGTCATAGCATTTGTGTTGTACTCACATCTTCACTGACTGCTGAACTAATAAGAATTACTCTAAATTACAGGATAGGTAAACCATCTAGGATAAAATAACAATCAGTCCAGTTTCATTCAAGTTTTAAATCCAAATACAAAATGTAATAGAAGATGGTAAAAAAAAAAGCTCTTCTAGGGACTGAAACAGGACTTATTTCGTTGATTCTTTGAGTCTTATGAATTCTAGGACTCATTGTATTAAGCATGCAACAACAGAAGTTGCTCTTTGGTACCTGAGATTCAGAAAAGCTGCAAAGCACAAAGGTGTAGCTAGAGAAATCCCTGCAGGGAATATTTGTACAGGTATGGAAAAAGTTGTTACAGCAGTACACAGGTCTTGGTCAGCTGGGAAAAAGCTGACATTTCAGACAAAGAAAAACAAAGTGTGGTAGAGCTTGGTGAAAGACCTGGCTGGATTAAGACAAAAAGAGGGGAAACTAAAGGGAAAAACAGACCTCTTAAAAGTTTAGATACACACCTGACTTTGCTGTATATCTATGGTTTGACATAAGTCTCATTCTGGAAAAACAACCCATGCTTTCTCAGTGTGTGCAAGGTATTGACCAGGGAGACCATCTAGCTTATAGATGTGAGATCGATGCCTATTTCATACCAGAAGGTTGAGTATAGGTTGGTTGTTGTATCTCTTCATAGCTGCTATGGAGCAATAGAGACGGTAGGGCCCAAACATGAGTGCTGAAGAGGTGCTATATTGCCTTGATTGCCTCTTGATTTCTTTGAGTTCATCACTGAAAGGAGATCAGGTACCAACCTGATCCTTAGTGTATGAAATTGGCGCCATTATCACACAAAGATCTGGCATACCATTTGTCTACATTGTTTTTTGAAGCATGTTACTTATTGAAATGCTGCAAAGACCATTATTTGGGGACAGCGAGAAGTCGCTAATTTAGTGAAAGGAAACAGTTAAAATTTACTTAGAGGGCAATATTAAAATGTGCCATAATTTCAATGAATTTATGTATTCTACTTCACAAGGTATGCATTCAAATTAACTTGCACGTTCCTTTATTGATAGAATAAGGTATCACTACCCTTGTTTAAAAGCCTTGACAATATTAAGGATCTAGTTGGTCATTGTACTCTGCTCGTGTCAAAAATAGGGCAGGAGCCACTCCCCCTTGCTTCCAGACTTCCTCTCTTAAATGGTGATTTCTCCTTCCTCAAACTCCTCTGTCCCCTCTTTCCATGCTGCCTGTGTGAAGCCTTCCTGCAGTAGTGACTTGTGTCTGTCTGACCCCTCTTGGTGGCTTTAGGAATTAATCATGGTAACCATGAACTTGCTTTTGGGTGAGTTAGCAACACCAAAGTAGAGGGTGAATCTTAAGCTAATTTGGAAGAGGAGTACTCACAGGAAACATCCAGATTATATAACGGTGCCTTGAGACGTAACTACATTGCTACTGGACTATGTAAAAATTATCTGGAGCTTGTTATAATGGAATTTGCATTGTGTACACATGGGAGCAAATGTGTTACACATCGGGAGTGCACGTACTCAAGAAACGTTGTTTGTTATTTTTAAGATAATCTTTTTAATAACTGAATAGGCTTTGTTCCCTGTGAAAGCTACCAATTTCTGCATATCAGAATAAGGAAAGTGGATCCATCCAGGCATTAACTTGTTGTTCAGAATTTATTTGAATGAACTAATAGCCTTTTTTTATGCCTAGATTTGATTATTACAGCTGGAGGTGAAAATGTGCCTCCAATTCCAATTGAAGATGCTGTCAAAAAAGAGCTTCCAATTGTTAGTAATGCCATGGTGATTGGAGATAAAAAGAAGTTTTTGTCAATGTTGCTGACCCTAAAGGTACACCAGTTTTAATGTTGATTTCAACAGAATTATACACCTGCTTCTAGCAAAACCAGAAGGATTTTGAACTGTTAGTAAAAAGATTGAAAAGTGGATAGGAGGACATGAGTTAGAGAAAAAACCTGTATAGAAACTAAAACCCATGGTCGTCTAACCTTCACATGGTTAGAAGTGCTGCTAAACATCTAATCATTATTGCACTTTCTCCTATACATGTAACAAGACCTACTTTTTATTTAAATGTGAATTTTTATTAAGAATTTTGGAACAATGACAAGTCTCTATGACAGAGCATAACAGAAGCCGTGACCACTACAGACAGGAAGAGCCAATAAATGTTTCTACTGGAGTGAAAAAGAAAGATCATTTACACAGAACAGGCTATCCAACGGAAATGTTTTCCTACAATTTGTTCTTTCTGTGTAGCACTAGGAGGAGGGCTGTAGAACAAGATAATAGCTTTGCTGTGGTGTGCATTTCAATTGTGAAATCATTTTTTCTGAAACATTTGCACTTATAGCAGTGAAAAGAGCTGTGTGTACCTATACAGTGAAAAACCCTTCAGTTTTTCCCAAGTTAAAAGTTGTTTACCTCTATGACGAGTACCTCCCTTTCTACACGTGCAATAGAAATATTAATTTGACAAGTCTAACTTTAAAAATGCTTCTGTCTCAAGCTGTTTTCATTATACCATGGTAATCCAATTGAATATTGTGCTAAATATGCCCCTATAGCTAGGGAATAATTTGAGAATACAGTAGAAGTTCAAGGTCTATAAAAAGACTTTATAGCCTAATTCATTGACATGTTTTAAATGTGTTCGCATCAACTGCATATAAACCAAAATATTTACATTAGGTAGCCAGGTGGAAAGAAAACAGAGTGCTATCATGAGTAGCTGTTTCTGCTTTTCAAGGTTTACACTATATTTGGATGCTGATGCTGAGCCTTCTTGATTCTCACTAATCAGGGAAGACCTAATCAGGGAAACTTTTAATACTGTGCGAGACTGAGCATTTGATTATACGGTTCATTTCATATTTTAGTGTGTCCTGGATCCAGATACATCTGATCCTACTGACATCCTTACTGAGCAAGCTAGAGACTTCTGCCAGAAGACTGGCAGCAAAGCCACTACAGTATCCGAGATTGTAGCTACAAGAGACCGGGCTATCTACCAGGCCATTCAGGAGGGAATCAACAAAGTCAACCTGAGTGCTACTAATAAAGTTCATTGTATTCAAAAATGGATAGTCCTGCCCCGAGATTTTTCTATTTCTGGAGGAGAACTAGGTAAGATTTGCTAATTTATACTGAGGTATACACACACAGTGTTGATCTAAACCACACTGGGAGTACAGCCACCAGCGTGAAAGGAAAAAAGTTATGCAATATGTGTTACTGACTACAGAAACTGGAACTTTCTGTACGTGTATAGAAGTAAAATCTGTGCTCATCCACATGAGCACAAGCTATAGTTAAATTTCAGATTGCATTGAGCAATTAAATAATCAATTTGGTTAATTCTTTATGCATTACAGGATTGATAACTTTCAGCAATAATACTGAAAAATGATCATTAAAAGAAAGACAGTAGTGAAACAGAAGGCCAGGTAAAAGAGTCCCAAGCAAAAGCACATTATTTTATCAGGTCCTTTGAATAAACTGGGAATTGTTTATAATCTTTCAAAAAGTCATCCTTTTAATTGTTTTTCATGACAAAAGGCAAGGAGTTGTCAGTCACCATCCTGTTAGCTGCAGCTGCCTCTCAAGTGCTCGTGTTTATGTGGAGGCAACCTTGTCTCTCACACTTGCTTCTCACTTTTAGCAGATAGGCTTGCAGATCAGTGAAGAGCCTGTTGGATCATGAACCAAAGCAGGAAACGAGTAGGAATTTTTGTTCCGATTTCTGCTGTTGTGACTAACTTCCTCTTTTAAGGTCCAACAATGAAGTTAAAACGGCTCACCGTGCTTGAGAAATACAGAGATGAAGTAGACTCCTTCTATGGAGAGTAAGAAGCATTTCTTGCCAGCATTAAAGAAGATCTGTGAGCTAAAGAAACTATTTCCTAATCAATAGCATTAAGGAAGATTTGTGCTTCTGTTCTGGTTTTGCAGTCTCTTGAACTGATGCACTTGAAAACTGCTGTGTTGATTTAGGTGTTCCTCTGATACTCACCTGATTGATAGTTTATACTCTCTTCCAGAAGTATCTACTCAGTCTGCCCTTTTTCTAATACTAATTTTCCTTTAGGTTCTAAATAAGTAAGGTTGAAAACATCTTAATATGTTGTGTAAAGTGAATATAACTAATTCATTCATTCATCTAGACTGAAATAGAAGGAAAATTATTACACTGTGATTTTGTTGTTGTTGTTGTTTTGCAAAAGGCTGCCTGTAGCTTATGTAGTATTTTAGTAGATCAGTAGTTAACAGTACTGTTTAGTAAAAATGCTATTGCACGGTGATAAAGGTGATGATTATTAAAAGATCAGCAGGCCTGTTCCCCCCACACACCCCCAGAACATCTCTTTTTGTTCTCTTAACACAAAATTTCGGAGCCTAAAAACATTCCTTTTTTTCTGCTTTTACAGTGGGTATACTTCAGACGCTTTGTGAAAGCGGCAGCTCATTTCTTAAATCAAGTTGAAAAAACATTACTATTTCCCCTAAAAACATATACATCAAGAAAGGTGGGGGGAATAGCTCCCTAAGATTAAAAGGTACAAAGTAGCAAATACAGGAGATCTTACATAAAGTGCTATTTAGAACAGAAACCTCTTTAAAAAATAAAAAGTGCTGTAAAGACAATTTTAATGATGTGCTTGAAAACATGCAAGTTAGCCACTGTGTCACAACTCCACTTGTTTCAATATTCACACTGTACTAAGTCTGACAAACGTGAGCTGTATTCCTCTTTATCAAAAATTCTAATTAATCACATGGTATTATGTGAAGGACATACTTGATAAAAAGCTATCTAAATAGTCTGCTCTTAGTAAGTGATCTTTGGCAGAGAGTTGTAACGGCTAACGCAAGCAGGCAGTCTACAACCACTATTCTTGACCAAAAAAAAAAAAAAGCAGTACTTTTCATGAAAGATCCAACATGCAGCATTATACAACCTGTAAACTTAAAGCTTATTGCAATCAGCTCAAAGCATCAGACAAGACAGCAGCCTAGGATTACATAAACCAAAACAAGCAATAGGACTTTGAAAAGTCTTTATTTTTTTTCCATTTTGTGCGTAACGATAACTCAGAAGTTCTTTAACTAGAATAATCTAAAGGAAACAAGGAAGCAGCAGCAACAGTATATGCATTCAAATGAAGCTAAAATTCTGTTTGAGACCACTGTATCTTTTGTATCTCACAGAAGGAAATGTTACCCTATTAACCAAGCACAGCGCGTGCAAGGAAAAAAGCTCGTTTCCCTTCCTAAACACACGTTGTTAGACTGTTTACAAGGTTGGGATGCTTACGTTACAGAGTGGCACTAGACAAAATTAACTCAGAGGGATTTTACTTCTGCAACAACCAGCCTAAACAGTCTTAATAGAAAGTAACTAAGCGGTATAATACCTATTAACAGAATTAAGCTTTAAGAAGCCAGTTCTGGCAGTAGTGATAATCCTGTACTATAGCCATGAATTTTAAAATAGGCATTTTATTGTGGGATGTACTAATGGAAGCATATCTTAAAACGCCCAATAAGACTCGTTTGTATCACCCATACGCAATAAAGAAGGGAGGGAAAAAAGTTGCTTTTGTGCTCATTAAGCTTCAGTAGCAGAAGAAATTCTCAGATCTGCTTGAATAGCAGATGAAAAACGTTTCTGGAACCTGGGCACCAGAGCCAAACCTTTGATCTCTCTTAATCCCTTTAGGAGTAGTCCATTACATTCAGAGCTTCTAAACTAAATTTACTAGCCAATACAGTAAGACACATTGAACAGACTAGGCATTAAAGGAAAGCACACTACAAAAAGCATTTTAGCTGAAGTCTGGATGCTGAATGGAATATTTAGTATAAATTTGCAAAGTTCATACTTCCCCCTTCACAGTATATAGCAGAAATAAATGTGTATAATTTGCTCTTCCCGAGGAGACCGCGGTTGTAAATTAAAGTGTGTTTCAGTGAGGAAAACTGAAAAGAATTATTTGGATAGTTAGCTTTGAAAAATAATTTTACTTTAACATTATTTCTCATCTCTAGCTGGTTTATGTTTTTGTTTTTTTTTTTTAAACAAATAGATTAAGTCTCTAGAATTTTGCATTTCTTTATTCATGTCCTTGAAGGATGAAGTTGTATTTCATGGATCACCAGAGCACCTAAAAGTGTTTCCTCATTGCTTTTAACACAAAATTGTTATTTAAGTAAGTAAGTTATTTATACCCGTTTCTTTTTATAAAGATCATTTTGTGCTATTGTTAGGCTGAAAACCTATCTGAGACCAATAAAGTAGGTTTTAAGCATTAAGGTGCCTTTACAATTCACTAATTCTGTTATTGTTATATTTACACAAAGTTTCTTCCTGGAAAGTAAAAACCATTTAATTGAAATGGAAAATGGTAGACAGTTACAATGACAATAAAATAATTCACCTGGACGTAAAAAAGTTCACCAGATAGAAACAAATAAATAAGACAAAGCACTTTTGGAAAAGTCCACTGAAAGCAGGCACAAGCATCATTTGTAGCCTTTTGGGCCGTATTTATTAGTGGAGAGGCCCTAACTAAAAAGTTTGCTCTCTGAAGAGACAGGCAAACTATATGCATATAGATATCAGGTTACATATAGTGTACTTTGTATGATGTGTCCTTTAGGAGTTAATACAAGCAGTACGAGCAAAGTTTAGTCTGTGTCCTGTACTCTGCGGCAGATCTCCTCTGTGAATTCTGAACACTTCGCGTTACCTCCCAAGTCTTTTGTCAAGACCTGAAGGAAGAAAGACCAACATTATTAAAGTGTTTAATGCGGCTATTCTTGCCTCTAAACATTTTATCTTTCATATGTAGTATATGGATACTAAATATGGATAAAAAGGAACATATTCAGGTTGAGATTCTCTACATCCCTTATAGCTTTCATCAGTAAGGACTATGAAAACTACAGTACGTAGAGAAAGCGACTATGAACATCAAGTGCTATGTTATCACAGTGTTAACATTTCAGCATCATTTTTTCTTAACTCCAAATAATGAAGGAAGTGAATTTGGCCAGAGCTTCTAAAGTCTCTTGGCCACAAAAGAAGTATACAAAATTGAAAGTAGTTACATTTTCATGAAAAGTTTGTCCTTTGGAGATGAAATTCATATATATATATATATATATGTATAGACTCAATGCAAAGGCAAATAACAGAAGAAGTGTCATTCCATGAAGTTTCTGTTGTTTGTTCTTAAAAGGAGAAAAAGCACACAGATAGGTCTTGAAATGCTCCATGTTAAGAGTGCTCTTAAGTTTGCTTAGTTTCATCAAGAGATGGAAAAACGCAGAGTTAAAGAAACTTGTTGATCAAGTACAATTCTGGTGCAATGAGGATAGTAAAATCAAAAAAAAATGTGGTAACAAGATTACTTGTCCAACCCTCCAAGATTAAAGCAGTCTAAGAGGTAAATTTAAATTATTAGTTTTCCCCTTATAAGACGCACACGCACAGTTCCTAAATGGCATGGGGGAGGAAGGAAGGGGGGAGAGAAATTGCAAGCACATGAGGCAATAAAGGTTACTATTTTAAGATACTGTCGTTTCAACTACGTTTTGCTTTTTTCCATTTAAAAATGTTCTCTTCTTTGTGAACATATAATAACATTTTAAGCAACTAGTAAACAAGTAGCCATGTCACAAAACTTGCACTACGTTATCTTCCATAGAATTACTGACCTGCAGATGGAGGATTTCATTTCCAGGGCAGTAAATGGGTGCTTTACAGGAGCACCTCTTTATTCACTTGTAAGCTTAGATTTTTTTTTAACTGGCTGCTATACACAGTATGATAGCTGCAAACAGACCACTTATGAAACAATGACGACTTTTCATTTAAGCATGTTTGTTACTTTTAATTATAAAGCAGCTTCTTACGCTCCTGCCCCAGATGATTGCACCAACATGGCTAACTGCTGATCCTCTTTAACCACCATCTTCAGGATCTTCCCAACTATGTTTTGATAAGGTGGAAGTCAAAGTGGATAAGTGAACCGACAACATTAAGAGTACAAATTCAAGTCAGGCTTCGGGGCGCAAGCCAAAAAAAAAAAACAACACCATTTATCCATTGGGGTTTCTAATCTGGAGACACTTACTGCCCAAGGGAGATCATATACAATCTTGAGCAGAAAATAAGTACTACATGTAGTTTTGCCCTTAGCTATTCCTTTGTAGTCCCCAAAGAAGCCAAAGCAGTTAGGAGGGAAAAAGAAAATAATTGACCTGAAGAACAGGAGCAGAAGTATTACATTCAAGACTGAGATGCTATAGAAGAGACGGGTGAGTAAGCCTGTAAAGGCAAGTGAGGATCCTTCACTTCAAGGTCCAGATTTACATTTATAAACTCTGTATGCGTTATAAACTTCACAAGTGAAATACTACTAGTTATCTAAACCTCTAATTCCCTTCCTGAATAACAGATATCCAGTTCTAGCTTTTAGATTAACAAAAGCTGGGGATATGTGAGACAAGGGTTGCTGAGAGATGAGGAATGCTACAACGTGTCCCTATTCCTGAGCTGGGCACATCTGGTACCACCGCAGGTAATATAATTGCTATTATCAGAGATAACAGAGACTCATTCCTCTGCTCCTGTGGCACGGCCCATGATTCAGGCCAGCACATCTGGGCATCTGCTGTTTTGATGTTCTAAGTGAATTTTTGCTGTGATGACAGAGTGATTCTAGTTCACTGCATGTATTTGTGCACCCTCGTATTACCTTTCCATCTTTAATTGTATCAAAGCAAGCTGTCTCAATTTTTGTGGCATGTTTGTGCAGTCCCATATGACGCAACATCATTACAGCACTCAGAAGAAGGGCAGTTGGATTTGCCAAGTCTTTTCCAGCAATGTCTGGAGCAGTTCCATGAACCTAGAAATAAAAGTGAACCTATCTATTATGAAGTCAATGTGTTGATTGAAATACCGTAAGCAATTCAATGCATTTAAGCCACTCCTCATGCACAAAGCATATTAAAATAGGATTTACATCACTGATACAGTTAATGGAAAGGAGACAGAAAAGAGCAAAACAATTCAATTCAAAGGTATGGGAAAGGGGCACTAGTTCAGCTTAACGTATCTCAGTAGAAATAGGAATCAGATACCTAATACCTCCCAATTGTGGCTCTCAAATTCTATTTCACAGAGGGTGTTTGTTTTATGAAAAAAAGGGGAAAAACAGAGTCAGTAAAAGCACATGGAAAAACCTACATATAATACATAATTTAACTACTCTCTATGGATAAAGTTTCAGCATCCTCACAGTAAAAAAAAAAAGGTTTTACAGAGAACTTAGTTAAATGACAGTCATGTTATGTATGGTGGACAAGTTTTAGGTTCTCAAGTTGAGACAAAATAGTCAATGCTATTTTACCTCACAAAAGAAGACTTACCGATTCAAAAATTGCAACTCCATTAGCACCAATGTTTCCACTTGGTGTTACTCCAAGACCCCCAATCAATCCAGCACATAAGTCACTGAGGGGAAAAAAAGAAATTCCACATGCAATTGCCTCTTAACAAGGTATTAAAATATTTGTGTGCATTTTATTGCAACAGTAAAGAGCTTATTTTATCTACCAACCTACCAGTCTGAGATCTTACCAGTCTAAGAATAATACTGGGAAAAGAACAGATACTATAAGCCACTTGTACTCCACTGGAACATTTGAAAGTTGTTAGTAGAACTACCAGTAGAAAAGACAACTTAATAAAGAAAAATTAGAAGGAAATTCCAAATTCTAGAATAAAGCTGACCAAACCAAGACAGATAAGCACAACAAAAGGTACTCAAAGCATGGGATAGTTGTAGAAATCTCAAAAGCTAGGAAAAAAATCTGACATCTGACAGTTCCCTGTAACTATCCAAAAGCCTTACTTCCCGGAAGATGCAATAGAACTATTTTTCGTATGTAACGTCCTTCTATAAACGCGCCAGAATTTTGCTCAAGGAGGCAAATCACAAGTAGTTTTAAAATGTGTTATACGTAACTTAAGGAGTATGTGCCAAGTAATACCAGAACAGTTACCCCCTTCTCTGTACTGAGCAGTCAGTGAGGCACAAGTTCACAAGTCTGACATAAGTGGGGTTTCCTCCCAAATTAACAAGGGGAAGGATAAACCCACTATGCCTACAGTCATCATACAGTACTCTCAAAGATGAGCACGCTAATAAACAAGAATCTTAAAACGCGGATATTTTAGCATACCATTTTATTGCCTACCTGTTAGTTGATGTATGACGAATGAGCAGAAAAGTTTGGAACTATTTTAAATTTAAGCTAAAATAAACTTATTAGCTATATTCATGTAGAGTCTGGGAGAGATTTTATAAATCATCATTTGGCTTTTAATCTAATTTTGATTCAGTCTATTTTCTTAATCTCGCCTTGGTCATACAAAGAGAAGCAATGCTGTATTATACACAAGAGTTCAGTTTACGACACTTAGTTTTACTAAGCAGTATTTAACTGAATTTACACTTTACTGAAACATTTTACAGAATATAAGATAGCTACCAATGGATTTTGTCATCAAGACATCAAGTGCTGCTAGTATTAAAGAAGGAAGTATTAAAATATTAGTGTTAAAGAAAAAAAATATATAGAAAATAAGGCCTGGTAGGACATGAAGAGGCCATAGAGTTGATTTTTCAGTAACTATGCAGAATCATGTAACTGTATGGCTTGTTTGCTCAAAACATGATGGTCCTACAGTCATCTTACACAATCTGTTTTCATGCCTAAGATTAGAAAGTCTAATAATAATGTCTAACTAAGTGTTCTTTATTACAATTTAAGCCATAAACTTATTCATGCATTTGGAGACGTTTCCCTTCTGCCTCCCTCCAACCCCAAGACACATGAATAACGTTCATAGTCTCCATCATCGGGAGCTTTCTTCTTTAATAAGAAGCACATTCTTATGATACAGCTCCCCTCAATAACACACTAATAACTGAAGTGTAATAATGACATCTTTTCTTCCCATTTAGATTCCAATTTAAAAAGATTTAAACTCTAGATGCAGAAAACAGTCACTCATCTGCCTAGCATATACCCTGAACAACAGTCTGGAAACTTGACAGTATTTCACATGCTGGGTTAGTTAAAATCGAACTCTCCATACCTGAGGATGTCACCATACAAATTTGGCATAACAAGCACATCAAATTGTGATGGATCCTGAACCATCTAGAAAGAGGACACTTTTATTAAGATTAAGAAATTAAGCTAAAAAATAACCGCAATTAAAACTGCTAAATACTCACATTCAGACACACAGTATCCAGATACATTTCATTAAATTTAATATCTTTACAGTTTTCTGCTGCCTCCCGGCATTTTCTCAAAAAAAGCCCATCAGACATTCTCCTGCAATTCAATAAGCAAAAGAATATTACAGTTTTTGAAAGTAAGCAATACTGAAGATAAAAACGACTGCATGCAACAGAGGATTAAATAAGAATACTAGAGTACAGAAACTTAATCAGCAACCTCTTAATTAGTAATGCCTTCTGTTAAATATAAATAATATTTTAAATATATTAAAGTCAGAAGTTATACCTTTTAAATTCCTTTAAATGCCTTTTAATTCCTTTAAATAATAGGATACTACTCATTGGGAGTATGATTATCTCAGAACTACTGTATATCAGCAGGACTGGAAATGCTTTCTGCATAGGCTCCACAGGCTAGTATTGAATAATACTCCCTTCTTTAACATACTTCCTAGAAGGCTTTGGAAGATACCAGCCAATTTCACGCTCACTTTTTAATTCATTTCCTAGTTTAAGATTATTTTTAAAATAAGGGCTTAGGGAGGAAGTCAGGGGAATACTAAAAACATTAGTATACAATTATTATAGGCCTATCGATACTGGGTCAGTATTCCCCACTTTACTTATAAGGTCTCCCACTAGCATGAACAGAAGTTATACATCTGAGGAAGATTAATGAAGTTATTTATCATTAAAAATATATTACTGTTCATTGTTTTCTCAAAAACAAGCGTCGACATACATAATATTTGCCTTGTGCACAGCAGTAACGTGACTTCTCTGATTATTTCTGGCGTACTCAAAAGCAAATTCTGCAATACGCTTGCTTGCTTCTTCTGTGATTAGCTTGATACTTTGCACAACACCATCAACAATCTGAAAGACAGTAGTTGCATTGCTAGTAAAAGTGCAAAGTTAATTTTAAAATCAATGGAATGAATGTTTGGGACAACAAAATATCAAGAATTCTGAGTTGGGTAGTCTCCACAAGGCATTTCACAAGAGAGCAACTTCTTTATTGCTAGAGAACTTAACCAAAAAACCTTCTTAGTACTAGGCAACTTAAATAGGCAAAGTTATCATTAATGGAACATAGAAACCCTGCCAGAAACACAACATTTCTAGTAACATACCACATGCTCAATTCCACTGTATTCGCCTTCTGTGTTCTCTCGAATTGTGACAATGTTTACATCTGTGTATGGGGTTTTGTATCCTTCAATTGAGACACAGGGGCGGACATTCGCATAAAGGTCAAAGGTTTTACGCAGAAGTAGATTCATTGATGGGTGCCCTGCAGCAATTGGGGTTTTTAAAGGCCCTAAAAGCAAAACAAAACCAACCAAACAACAAACAAAAAACAAGAATGAGTGAGAGATAAGCCCCTCTGTAAATTTAGAGTTCAAACCACAGATAAAATTCTGCGGTACTCTTGCAGAAGAACTCCAAATTCCTATTTAACTCTTAGGCCAAAATGCTGCAGGAATTCTTGGTGCCCTTAAGAGTACTACACACTAATATTAATCAGCTGTTTAAGGGCCAAACCATGATCCCTATTTCACATGGAACAGGAGCTTTTACAAAAGGTTTCACTGAAAACGACATAAAAGAGGTGAAGTAAGATACTACTCGTTGGGAATATAGTTATCACATAACTACTGTATATCAGCAGGACTGGAAATGCTTTCTGCATAGGCTCCACAGGCTAGTATTGAATAATACTCCCTTCTTTAACATACTTCCTAGAAGACCTGTGACAGTCATGGCCTTGAAATGAAGGCCTGTTTTAAGATTGCAGAAGGTTACTTGGCACACTGGCCCCTATGATTAGCCATTTTATTGTGCTGCAGATGAAGGACTTGGGCTTTTAAATCAGATCCACAATACCAACAACAGTATTTGCTATCTTTGTATTAACCCTGAAAATACCTTTCAGTCCCATTTTGTTTTTATCCATGGATTCTTTGGCATCTGGAGGTATCATCCACTTTCCTCCTGGTCCTTGGATAGCTGTAACGTTCCTCTCTTCCCACTGAATAGGTGCCTAAACGCATTGGTCACATGTTAACTTCAATACCATGACTTTTGCTTCCAGTTTTTCCTCCCCCTACACCAAAATGGTGCCTAAGGAATTTTACTTGAGCCTTCCTAAACAATTTTTCCTCTGGTGAGTAACACTAAGCATGAAATATTTGAACTTGAAAAGAAACAAAACTTTTAAAATGTTATTATATAATTGATAATGGAATAGTATGAACAATATCCCAGCATAAACTTGAATACCACAGGATGCCTCCCTAGGTATCACATACACAGATATCATTAGAATTGCATATACACGGTACTTCCTTCAGCTTGCTACAGCTGTCTAGGACGTCGTATTTTCAAGAGACAAAAGACATCTGAAAACTGAATTATTTCAAAACTGATCATCCACACTACCTATAAGACAGTACATAACACAGATGCATGTTATCTAACCGAAAGTCTACAAGTGTCCCACAATGCTTCCAGAATTTACATTCACCACGAGAATCATCTATTTGGAGACAGGCTGCCCACCTGTTCATTTCATCAGGAAGGACCATAAAGGAAAAGACACAAGGGCTTTTATAAGCAAACAGAATCAGTCTAAGCATAACATACTAAATGTGCCCCCTTAAAATGAACAAACTGGACTAAGTTTTGCAAACGTGCGCTTACACACAAACTTACGTTTTACTCCTCCATGTCACTCACCTGCACAGCCAAACTATTATAGGGCTTTATGTATAATTAAAGAGAACTTCACCTTTTCCAAATCTAAGCTGGATAGTTGTAATAGATAGGGAACATACTTTGGTACCATTAGTAATATGAAACAATTTAACAAGTTTCTTTCCTGAAAAGCTTTATTTTCTCCCCAGGAAACCTGACAAGTTCTGATGAAGTTCCTCATGTAGGTACCAAAACAGCCCTCGGATATACCCAGTTTGCCTATCTCAGAAGTGAACGTGTTTGACACTACAACAGACTAATTGCAGAAACGTTTCTAAGAATAAGCTAGTCCTTCCACACATGCTTTGATCTGCACTGAGAAATCAAAATGTCTAAAAGAACATCTATCAGTTGTTCAAGATTACTGCACCAACAAGATGATTTCACATGATATATTGAGTTCATATTTCCAAAAATTCAAAACAGCATTTGCTCTCAGCTCTCTACTCCTCAGCCAGCTAACAGTTCCGAGCCCTTTCTTCCATTTTTTGAAGCTTCTGACTCTTTCTGTTGCCAAGTAAAAGTCTTAATAGCTTAAACATGACTTGATATTTTGCAAGGTAAAGGAAAAACACTGTTAATGCACCTAGTTATGGCTTGGTGTTGTAACCAAACTTACAATATTCACACTAAGAAAAATAAGCACTTACTTTGGCGGCATCAAAGATCTTCATGACAGCAGCAGAAATCTCAGGTCCTATGCCATCTCCTGGGATTAAAGTTACTGTTTGCACCTACGTAACAAAAAAAAAAAAAATGAAAAGAAAAAATGCAGTAGTACAACTAATGAATGCTGTGTCGAATGCAGAAATCATTTTCATGTGCTGCAGGAACCAAGCAACTGCTGGAATAAAAAAGAAAGTTCCTGTTGCCAAAAATAACTGTACAGAATAGCAGTAATGGACAGAAGCAAGAATGACTAGCTTACTTTCAAAGGGAGGCTGCAGAGGCTTTAAGAGAATTGTTTAAAAACCTGCCTAGAAAGAACTCATATTCTCAAAAGACAAGTTTAACCTGAAAGGCAGGTTCCTGCACAGTACTCCATGAAATAACATGCTTACTTCTTGGAAATTGGAGAGGAGATAGTATTATCTCGCTATGGCTCTGTTACCCATATACCTCCAGTATTCTCAACAAACTCCAGTGATACTGATCCATGTTAGAGAAGTCATTCATCTTAAAGTCTCAGGTTTATCTAAACTTCTCATGTGAATTCCTAAAAATCTCAGATCAATTTTTAACAATGGCAATTTTTTCCCCCCCTAATGCCTACAGAATTTCCCAGTCTTTTATCATCCTCAGGCAGATGAAACAGACTGCACAGCTCAGGCTCAGGTTAACAGGGAAGAAAGTATTCCGGTTTGGTTTAAAAAAGCAGGATGATTACTATTTTAGTCCTTTGCACCCCTCTCTCTTTTTGTTTTGCTTAAAGATTTCCAGCATTTTGTAGAAGCTCTTTATTACCTACAAAAAAAACCGCTCAGATACAGCATTATTTGCAAAGCCCAATTACAATTAAACTCCAGGCAAAATATTCTGAATTTCAATGGATATTTTGTGACTGATTTTTTAACTAATTACAGCCAGAGAGTTTCACTGTGCAAAACAAAAGATGTGGAGCTTCAGATAAAAGACCTGAACTGAAAGCTCAGCAGCAATGTTAAGTACATAACTAACTGAATCCCTTTAAGATTGGTTTTGTGCTGTCTTATATTCCAGTTGCTTCGCAGTACAGCAGGACTACACGTGAGCCAGAGGAGACTACATCCTAAACATTAGTGTGGTATAGAGAGACTGTAAGGTGCCTCACCTTCTAAATCCTTCTGTACTATATCAGCCATGAGCTACAGTTCAGCGTCTCCTCTCCACTAACTGTTTTACCAGCTTCCAATTAAAAGCCACTGTTTGTCCTCAAACTTAAGTCTCGCATAAGGGAGCGTGCAGTGGTGGTGAGCCCTGCATCTGCCTGAGAAATTTTCAAGGCCATCTTCACTGAGAAGAAGTCTGTGAGCACTTTAAGCACACACATAAAGAAAGTAAAACATCTACAAAAAAATACACAGTCATCATCTAAAACACGTTAAAGAAGGCCTTGAAAAGGCAGACTTTTCTACGCATGGTATACTAAAAGCAGCAGTATTTAAAGTAAATCTATTGCTTACAGGAAAGTCTGCAAAATAAAAAGAAAATTAGAAGCTTCTCAACAATCCTTCTAATTTGCCCATTTCCAAATTAGTTTCAGAAGAACTGGCTTATATCCAGATTTTGTGAAAAGTTTTCATGCCACTTCTATCTTGTGCTAGAGCCTGTCTTAGCTTATCACTTTTCTGTAATATGCAATTCCCAAAGACAGCAATTAACCAACATGAATCCAGCATGGCATTAAGAGCATATATGCTCACTTACTTAGGCCTTGTTTTTTGAGAATGTAAAAATAATACAGTGATCTTGAAGTAAGTTTCTGAGGTCATTTCTTGAGAAACTTCTTAAAAGAAAAAAATTGTACTATTATACTCACAGCACTACCAAAACTTCTGGTCACCTGTTTTTGGTTTTTGAAAGCACCTAGCAACCGAGAAACCTGTAAGAACATAAAACAAAAAAGATACTATTTTACTACACAAATGGTTATTTTAAAAGATATCAATATTGCAGCAATTCTACATTTTAAAAATCACAGTTTCATTTTGATTTTCATACTTATTTGAGATGAAATTTCGAGTAGAGTAACTAATGCTTTGGGAAGTTGCTCAATAACATGCTGGACACTAATACCTCATGTGGGTATTAGCACAAGGTAAATCCAGCGCGGCCACAGTTTGAAGTGCACCATAATTTCTTATCTTGCCTGGGGATACGGGGAAATTGCTGCATAGTAATCCAAGTCCTTAGATACTACACATTTAAAATAAGCTTGCAATAACCCTAGGAAGATGGATAACGTGCTGAGACTTAAGATTCATAAGAAGCAAAGTGAGAAATCAAACATGAAAACTTCAGTAATAGCTGCGTGGATGACATATTTACACATTTGAGGTAATCTTTTCAAGACTTCTTTGCGTTAGCCTGACTTCTATTTCATTGAAATTGGTGAGAATTTTGTTCTCAGACCTTTTACATCTGTGTTGTGTGCTTTAACCTCCTGCATGCCTGACAATTTGTAAAGAGTGGTTGAAGTGCACATGAAAGACAAAAGAAAACTCACCTTGGCAATGAAAATCACCATCTACACAGTTCTAGTCAAAGAATTCCACTTTCTAACATCTGACTAGTCAGAATTGGCATAAAATTTCCAAATAGAGAAGGTACCTCAGCTGGAGTTCTTGCCTAACAGAGCACCAAAGACAAAATCCCCAACCGTATCACTATAGGTAACTGACTACAGAAAAATCACAGCCTCCCAATCTTATCCTTTTCTTCAGAATTTGTCATGCCTCTATGACTTAAGAGTCAGAGGATCTTCCAACTGTAATCAGACTCACGCTACTTCAGTTCTACCATCCTCAGCTGCATAGTCTGTTTGCAGCTATCCTGGCTGCGGGACAGCATTGGCAGTTTGTCTCCTGTCCAATTTGCACTTGTATCTTCATTGACACCTATGTTAAATATAGCTGGACAGCAAAACTATCTGGGCACTAGCAGAAACGATCAGAAGTAATATAATTCTCATGGATATCGTAATGAGTACTGTGGAAAAAACAAGCTGGAATTCGTTTCGGCCTGCGGCTCAACGTGACACGGACAAGGCCGTTACCGACAGGCGAGTACCGTTTCTCATAGCAAGCTGTATATTGGACTCGCAGGCAGCAGCTGGAGCAGCAAACGGACTGAGCTGCAGAAGCCGAAGTGCCCGCACAGTACGGTTCTCGCTTAGGGACCGGGATTCGTTTTCCAGGGCAGCCCTGGAAAGAGCGGGGACAGAAGGGACCGGGAGCGCTGCCTGCCAGGAACGGCGGCCCGAGCGGCC